TGGTACAGATAGGAACTGAAAATACAGGGAATCCAGGACGGATGAGCCCTATAGGACCAGTGGTGTGAGTGGCGAAACAGGGAGGGTAAAGGGAGAATGGGTAGGAAAGAGGGAATCGATTACATGGAACTGTGTGACCTCCTCCCTGGGGGACAGACAACCGAAAAGTGGATGAAGGGAGACGTCGGACAGGGCAAGATATGATAAAATACCCATTTATAAACTATCAAGGGCTCATGCGGGAGGGGGAGCGGGGAGGGAGGGGAAAAATGAGGACCTAATGTCGGGGGTTTAAATGGAGAGAAGATGTTTTGGAAACGATGTACAAATGCGCTTTACCCAATTGATGTGTGTATGGATTGGGATAACAGTTGTATGAGCCCCTAATAAAATGTTAAAAAAGAAAAAAAAATAGTGAGGGGAGGCACTCTTAGAGAACTACAGGTAGTTATGTGTTTCATCAGTGCTCTACTGCACCCTGGATCTATCATCCCTTCTCTGTGGGCCTTCTGTGAGGGACTGTCTACTTATCTTACAGGTGGGTTTGGGATCTCCACTCCACATCATTTTGATTGCTTGTTTTTGAACTTCTGATACCTTTTCCTCTTGACACCTCTTGATCACACAGGCTGATGTCCTTCTTCCATGTGTGTTTTGATGTATCCCTGCTAGATGACCACATGTTTAACTTAAAGCCTTTAAGAAATATATAAGGATACGTGTATTTGTCCATATATACATATATATATATATAATGGCAGCAGATGGACTTTGGGCCTCTACTTAAGTCTTACCTCAGTACAAGAATGATTTGTTTTATTAATGTGGCAATGTATGATACTCACCTTCCTGACAAAATAGCTGAAGACAAAATGGGAACATAAACAAATGTGGTGGAGAAAGCTGATGGCTGTTAAAAGATATAGTGTCTGGAGTCTTAAAGCAACTGTTATTTTTATAGTATTTTATAGGCTCTTTTCAGATATTTTGCTTGTTTCCTACTTTTGCCAAATAACAAAACAAATTAAATGTTTTTCGTAAACATTCATGGAATACCCTTTAAACAGCAACAAAAAAAGAAGTATCTTCTTGTGTTTTGGGTGGAGATTTACACAGCAGTACGGGATCTCATTCAGCAATCTCTTCCAAAATTTGTTCTGTAACTTCTGTTACCCTCTTTACAACACATAAACAGTATCAGTATTTCTTCTCTCATAATTCTCTTTGCATTTATCTAGTTTCCCTGCCCTCTTGTATTGTCGTCATTGTTTTAACGAAATGGCCAACTGTTTAGTGTCCTGCCCATGATTTTTCAAAAGTAGCACATCAGTCATGGTTGTGACATGCTGTACTTTGTGAGCCCGTCTGTAATTTAGCTGTAGTGGCCTGGGGAGTGGGGGCTAGTTTTGGTTCAAAGTTTACAGAGTATCTCAGGGAGTAATAGTCTCCGAATATCCTCCATCTTCTAACCTGTGTGGTAAACCTGTTTCACATTTTCTCCCATTGTGCCAGGGTCCCTCTATTAATGGCTCTGTTCAGAATGATTTGTTCTGAGGGTAGCTGGGCCCCATCCAGTTCTGGTCTCAGAGTAGACGAGGCCATGGCTTGTAAAGATTATGTGGATTAGTTGCTTCTGGGAGTCTTTGATTTCCAACTTTTTCTTTTGATCTGGATTAGTAGAGTTGTACCTTACTTAGGTGGTTACTAAGCAGCTTTTAAGTCTCCGGATACCAATCACCAAACTATGATGTCGCGCCTAAGTTTGTGAACTATATTATGTGTCCAGACTATGGTCTGAATCCTACAAACCCGGAAAGCCAATTCGGTGCGGTTTTGTTCATGTCCAAGAAGTATCTGTAACTGTGCTTTCTTATATGAGAAGGCGTCCAAAATTTCATGCAAAAATTCTGTTAGCTTTCCACTCTAATTTCCACAAGGTTTTTGAAGCCCGCTCACATGTATGTATAAATACATGCATGCACAGATGCACATGTGAGAATGGAAGTAAATGATAAGGGAATTTTCACATGAACTTTTAGAGACCGCTTCATACATACCTGTCCACGTGTATGTATACATATATTTGGGGGATTGTTGTTGCTGTTATTTCAAAATTGTTTAGACCACAGCAATTACTAAAAGGTCCTTTTTTCAGTGACAAAAAAGCATGCACTCTTCTTGTTGTTTATACCCAAATGTGTCTGTTGTACCGAGGGAATGGGATAGGGATTTTCACTGGACAAGGCCCGAGATGTAATTGGCTGCCACAGAAATTATTGTAGCTATTACTGTGATGAGGGCTTTGTGGTTGGATACATGCTGTGCAGAACACAGAGATATTGTGTTACCCTACTTCTGGACCTTGACCTTCTGAGACTAAGACCTTGACCTTGACATACAGAAAATCACGAGCAAGCCAGAGCCCCATGTTGTATAAAGGACAATTGAAGTATGAAGGATGGTTCCTGGTGAGCAGTCTGGGAAGGCTAGCACGAGCTCTCTTCAGGTCTTGAAGGCTGCAGGTCAAGAGAAACGAGAGGCACTCCATGTGGCTGTGAGGCCTGAAGAAGCAGCAAACATTGGATGCTCCAGGATTTGGTTTCATGTAAGAAAGCCCTTTCTGACAGAATATGCTGAAAATGGCTTGGGGTCCTGCTCTCCCCCCTGCCCCCATCCCTGCACCCCCTTCCCTGGAAAAAGTGAATGCCCTTCCTTCCACATCCCTGGAGATACCCATGCAGGAGGCAGGAGCCAACTGTCACTTGGATGAAGAGACAGAGCATGTGCACGGAGGGGGATTCATCATAAGGATGTTATTTGGAGACCTTTGAGAAAACTTTGTGACTGCGAGGCCTTGAACTTGAAACCTCAGCCCAGAATATAGCAATTAAAGAAAACCCGGATGAAAATACTTTGAAAACACCGTTCGTTCTCCTAAACATTTCTTAGAACAAGGAAATCATTATTGAACCTGCTAATCTCACCTTTTCTGCACTCAGCTCATTGGTGAATTTTGACAGTTTTGGACATTCAGTTAATTATTGCAGAAGTTGTATGGGAGACCGTTGTTCTCAGGCTGAGTGTGCGTGTGCGCGCACTTATGTTTTATGCAGTTTGCCAGCCAGAAGGCTCTCAGATCTTAAGACTGCAACATCTGGCAAATGGTAAAGGGGCGGTTTTCACATACTGTTGGTCTTTGTGTAGGTTTTTCACTTAAAAAGAAAATCAGCTATTACTTTCAACATTTGAAAAGCTAAATTATCCCAGAGTATGTGGAATGTTTCTGAAAGCTGTACTTGTTGTACAGATTTCTCATTGAAGAAATAAGTGTTTTAATCGTGACTTTAACTTTTCTCCTTTTTTGGCCTAGTACTTTTTAACATGTGTTTTCATTATTTTGGTATTGATTCTTTGAAAATTAAATAAAATTGGGATCTGATAGTTCACAAAATATCTATGAACATGTGGGAAATTGCCCATCAGATTTAAATGCTCCTAACAAGTGATTAAATAATTACCTGACCTCTTGCCCTTGTATGGTCTGTGGACCAGAGGAAATAGAACCATCTGGAAGTTGGTAGAAATGCAGAATCTTAAGCTCTATCCCTGAGCTACTGAATCACAACCAGGGTTTTTAACAAGTTGGACTTTCTACAATAGATGATAGAATGTTCTAGGTGGCATGATGCAGAACCTATAGTTAATAATCATCTTTTTTTTTTTTTTCATTCATTCCTTCTCTCTCTCTCTCTCTCTGAGCACATGTTACAAGCCTGGAATTGTGACTGGGTTCTTTCATGACCATGAGTTTATCTAGTCCATTGACTAATAATATAAGGTCGATAGTATTAGTGGCTCTGAAAAGTTGTTACCAGACACGCCAGAGATGCCTCTAACAGACAGATCCTGGAGTCTAGGGAGATTGAGGTCCACCTCATAATAGCATAGCTTGGCCACCCTGTGCTGCCCTGCCTGGTAAAGTCCGGTGACATTGCCAAGACCAGCGTTTCCCACCCTCTGATCATTGCCTGTCCAGTTGTGGGTTGAGATAAAGGGGCGCAGTAGGAAGTCACTTCCCATAAGCATTATCAAGAGAGCAAGCACAAGCCCCCCCCCACCCCCCGGCCCCGTGGGTGGTTCGGTGTCCTGAAGCATCAGGTAGAAAAGAGGTTCTGAGAGCTACAAACTCACTGCCCAGTTGCTGCCAAGGCCAAAATAGGCTGAGATTGGTTTTATAAATATAAGTTCATTTTTTAAACACATGCTTTGAAAGAATGCGTATTTCTTAGAAACCGGATCAGGCTTTCCACATCTGAAGTGATCATGCTCTCCCATTTTCATGGATTCGGCTCTAGATGAGATAAAAATCAACGAGGGGGATAGGTTATGGCCTGATTTCCTGTTTTCTGATTCCATCCACCTTGCCTTGGCGTTTGCCAGCGTTTGAACAGCTCAAGGGGTCATGATTTATACCCACAATAAACCTACAACTTGGAAATGACAGGCTTTGAGTCTTCCCAAAGCACGAGGATCCATACTGCATGCTGGGGACTGTTTTTTAAGACAGTCTATTATATCTCCTTAAAAATTACTAAGCAAAATCCATTCTGATAACTGAAGCAACATATTAAGCAAGTGGGATTCATGTATGTACGTTTCAATTGTCCATCAACCCGTTGAGCAAGCCCTACGTACGATCTGAAAAGAGTTCGTTTTAAAGTTCAGCAACCTTTCCCTGCACTGTCACAGTTCGCACCCCCAGCCTTCTCAACAAGTAAAGCCAAATATCATCTTCCCCACCCACTGAATTTGGTGGTGTTTTTTATTCTCTTCAGGTGCCCTCCTCTTGTCTTTACCAATGACATCGGCTTACTTCATGTGAAAACCTCACATATTGAATACATATGCATTTAAAATATTGTTTCGATTTGTTTGCGAATTGTTGCTCTCAAAGGGTCTATCTGGGGAAATGAGTGATTCTCCTTATCCCATTCTTGCAGGAAGAATTTTAAATCGTTTCTCCAAAGACATTGGACATATGGATGACTTGCTGCCCCTCACAGTTCTAGATTTCATCCAGGTAAAGTAACATCAGCTAATTCCATAAAAAATTGAAGTTCTTGATTTTTCTTTGGTAGGGGTGGGGGGGCCGGGGGTCTCCCTGAGGCCCTTGCATGGGTGGGGGGTGGGAAGCCTTTCTGCCTATCGATGTGGATGTGTAATTTTACCTTAAGGAAAGGCCATGTTTGTAAGAGAAGGGTGTGGTTATGATTCGGAGCTAAGTTAACATGAGTAATACCTAGTGCGTAGGAGTGACTACACAGCCCGCTCAATGTTTTCCTTCGAAGGAGGGACATGCTCCTGGGCTGCCTCCCAGGGATCTGGCATGGGTTCTGCTTTACTGTGAACACATTTCACAATGTAGAAACAATCACCTCTCACGGAAAGATAGCCCAGATTAACCAAATTATGCATTGTATTACCACAAAGGACAAATATTTCCTGCACCCGGTTTTTTGGGTTGTGTGTGTGTGTGTGAGTATAAAACCAGGTGTGGTTACCGACAAAAGAAAAGATTAGTATTAATAAGTTGAAAATAATACTTTGTGTTAACAAGGACAATAGAGAGCAGTTATTGGAGAAACAAAGCATTTAAAGGCAAGCATGTGGAAGCCAATAATAAGAGTACAGGATCAAAGCATCCTCGGAAAATGTGGGTTGTGTTTTTTTCCAGGCCGTTTTTCTGTTCACGGGATGGTTGTTGTAAGTCTTAAGCTGTCTGTTCTTAAAAAAAAGAAGAGAAAAACTTAACTAAACTAGAAAACCAACAATCCCACAGAAATTCAGAAAGCGTCTGTTTTGTCTGTGAACATGAGGTTCTGAGAAACAATGTTGGCTCATGTCAGCTCTCATCTCATTCAGAATTGTTGCTCATGGGGTTTTTTGTCTCTTACCCCCTCAACACCGCCCCCCCCACCCCCGTGCAATTTCACTCTAGACTTCAGTGTTGCAGGCTGGGGAACTTTCTTCCTCTCTAAGTGTTTCTGGTGGAAACTAGACACATCCACGCCAAGTTTTACATGTTTGTGAGTTCCAACTCCTGTTTGAGCCTTCTTCACTTGCCTTGAACGTCAGTTTACTGTAGTCTAATGGTGAATGAATTTTGAAGGCCAGAAAGTGGGTCTGTAATTATGGCTTGCTAGCCTGGTGGCTCTTTGTTGTTGTTTTTCTTTAAGACTGAAATGTTCTTGAAGTCAAAGCTTAGGATCGCCTCTAGAGCTTCTGTTGTAAAAGGAGCCAAACTAACTTAATTTGAAAATGAGTTCTGCCTGAGAAAATCAGTAGTAGGCTTGACATGATTACAGGAACTCCTGATGGTCACTGAGAAGTGCATTAGTAGCTCTGGCTGCAAACGGTGCCGCCCACGGGCTGAGGCAGCCACTGTTGGCCAGCATGTGACATGATCACAGTCAGAGTATTTTGACTGTAAGACTGTTTTTTTACTGCAAGTCTTTAGTTTTTCTTCTGCAAACATTCTTTGTGGAGGTGCGCTGCTCAGGGTTTGGCAGTGTGCGTCATTTATTGACACCCCGGAAGCAGTCTTGCCCTGGTTTCATTTTGTCACGGGAAGCCAGTGACTTCAGGCACACGTCGTGACAGTGGCTGCCCATGATTTTCAGAAGACGATGGTGTGTTGTGTCGCTGCACATTTGGCAGAGCTCGAGCTGCCAATGGCACGTGGCCCACTGTGTGTTTAGCAAACCGTGGCCACAGTCATTTGGGACCCCTCGTATGTCTTTGCATTCAATATAGGTAGAGGACAGGTGGGTGACCCTCGGTTTCAGGTGAAAGCATTAGCAGAGTGCGGACAGGGAATTTTAGTCTTGCTCTCCTTTGGTTTAACCAGAAACCACACCCCTTTCTCCTCCTTCTTCTTCTTTTTTTAATCCGCTCATTTAATCTTAAACTGATTGTTGAGACTAGCTGTCCTAATTACCGGGGGTCTTGGGTTTTCAGTAGCAAAGGCACATCTCTCAGAGGAGTTTTCTATAAATTGATAACTCCGTGATCAATTGTGAGAAAGACCTATTGTCATTTGGTCTGCTTGCAGGTGTCTTTAATAAGGCTTCCCGTAATCCCTTCAGGAAGAAATATTTTTCTCCTTTTAAAAATAGTATTAGCTAAATATAAAAGCTCTGATCCCTGCCATTGTTGCTGGTTCTTTGAGGGACGGTTCCCAACATTCACTGTTTCAATGGTTGTCAGGAGGAATCAAGCGAAGCTTCGTAAGGCCGCAGCGCTGGTTCCTCTGACTGGGTGCTCAAGCCTCTCCTGAGAGGATTTGCAGTCGACGACTGGGCTTTTGACCAGGTAGCACTGTGATCACTTGAAGGGGTTTGGCCTGTTGGTGTGTATCAAGCAAAGGTTTCTGTTCAGTCCACAGAAATGCATTTAACAATGAAAATCTGAATGTGAATTGTGGGGTTGTTATTATTGTTAAAGTTGGCTATCACTCTCTCGGGATTAAATTAACCCCAGTGGTGTTCTGGAACTTCTAATGGAATCATGTTAACTTAAAATAAACACTGTGATGGCAAGCACATAGAATGAAAACTAATTTTCCAAATCAAATACACTATATTCAATTCATTTTCCCCAATCAACTAAATGTTTAAAACCTGTTAGTTGTAACTGCAATCTTCTGGAAATTAATTAGAAGCCTATTAACACTGCTAGCTGAGCCGAATAAAGGGGGAGGGGTGCTCGCGCTATTTCTGGACATGCTCCTGAATTAAAGCACAGCAAGGTCAAAATGACAGTCAGCTGGACTCACTTTATGGCTTTCCTGACGGAGTGGATCTAGTTGGTTGGTTTCCTGGGGTGTGGGGGTGTGTGGTGGTGAATGGGTGGTTTGTTTTTTTCAGATGAAGTTTTTTATCTACTTGGACTTAATCTTCGAAAACAAAAATTTTAAATTAGGTTTCAGTCACAAACCATACAAGTAGTATGAGTATAATTCACGGGACATTAGCATCTTCTCAGCTGCATAGGAATCTGCGATAGAAAGGCTCCTCTGGCCTTTTGTTCTGCTTAGCAAAGCTCTCAAAGGGTTTGGGTGGCCCCTCTCAGAACTGAGAGCAGAGAATATGCTCTGTCTGCTGCTCTCGACTTTGAGGTCATCAGCACCTGCCGCTGACATTGGGGGACCAGACCCTCTGTTCTCACTCAACCGAAAGATTGGCTGTTGGAGTCCAACAGTGGTACTTCGGAAGAAAGACCTGGATGACCTGTTTCCAAAGACGCAGCCAGTACAAAACCCATAAGGAGCCCAGTTCTCATGTGTTTGCCATGAGTACCATTCACTGTGATGGCATGATGGCAATGGTGAGTTGTTTGCTTAAACATGTCTCATTGGATTCTGTGGTCAAAAAACAGTTGGACTCCTGTGCTCAGAGCAGAGAAACTCACAGCCAGCAAGTCCTTCCAGGCGTATCATAACTGAAACAATTGAATTTTAAAGGGATTGGAAACAGCCTCATTTTGGTTTGTTTGTTTGTTTGTTTGTTTGTTTTGTCAATCTAAGTAAAAACTACACACCCTCTGCTTCTACTGAGCCAGAAAGAATTGGGAGAGAAGTCTAGTAATAAATAGAATGTAGTTCTAAATCCAAAGCTCTTTTGAGTAGGAAGTTAAGTTTTCCCGACTGTGATATGTGTATTGCTTCCTGTTGAAGGTAGGCATGTGATAAGGGCTTTCTGGAGCATTGCAGCCTCAAAGCTCTGGAAATATATGCTGTATTGACATTTATCCGTATGAATTTTTTAGTCAAAACATCCATATTTGATTGTTTTTTGTATACAACACCGATAGTTTTCTTGGCATCGTGGGTTCAGAAATATGAACCATTGGGTTAGACCTTAATTGTATCTTCACTTGGGTCTGGTGCTAAGGAATAAAGGAGGGAGACCTTAAGAAACACCCTGTCCATTTGTGCCATCATCCCTAGAATCAGTACACAGTTGGCCCTTGGACAACACGGATCTGCCTGTGAGGTTCCACTTACATGGGGATCCTTTTTCCAATGCTGGTTTTGCAGTGAGCAGGTATCGGCTTAAAATGCCCTGTGTCTCTAATCATCCCTGGGAGCAATCTGTTTACTCAGATTAAAATTACAAAGCATTTTAAGTGGATACTGTGGTTGCCTGTTGGGTAAATTAGGGAGCCTTTACCACCAGCCTGCTGGTAACACTTGAGGTCACTACAATAGCAATAAGCCTAACAACTAACCTGACGTGCCATCGAGTCTGTTCCAGTTCACAGTGAATGCTCTTTTCCTAAGTCTCCAACCTCAATCTCCCTTTGTAGAAGAAGCGAACACTAAACGCATCCCAGAGTGAATGTGGCCAGTGCCACCGCTTGCTCGTGATTTCCCTGACTTTGGGGAGCTTAAAGTGACATATCAATCCATGTTCTACATTTTGAAAAAAATGATATTTGTTCATTTTGGTACACGTTTACCCCACATAATAGGTTCCCATTTGACAATGTCTATACAAAAAGACATTTTGTTTAAACTGGATGCAGATTAATTGGCCAGCCAGATAGAAGCTATTTGCCTTTGTATAGGAATTGTGTTTATACAAACATTTGTGGGTTGTGGTTTTCTATTTTGAATAGCTAGATATTCCACCCCATGCTAATGGACATGTGACACTGCTAATTTTGAAAATGGGTGTAATTCACTGCTGTCCTCCAGTGAGACATACAGAGGTCTGTGGGGTGGGGCGCTGGAAGTAGAGCACACAAAGGTGTGGAGGTCGGGTAATGAAAAGAGGTGGACTTTGGACTCACCAGGCAATTTGGAAAGCAGAAGAGCAGGCTGCAATCGAGGGACCTTTTTGAAGACTCTAGTTATTACACAGCACTGGATAACAACAATATTTGTTTTTTAGTAAACCCTCAGGCTTGCCATGGGGTTATTTCATAAACATGCCAGGGGCTGGTGGTACACAGAAGACATAGTGCAATATTGTTCATACATGTTTTTCTTTTTTCAAATTCATAGCCGCTTCAATTATT